GGGGAGGGGGCCGGCTGGCTGGGCCAGGGGGGGGGGTTATCCCCCTCTCTTTTGTTTTGCTTTTCATTTATTATTTTCTTTTTCTGTTATTGGTTTATTTAAAATGCTCTGGCATTTTGTAAAAATTATTGCACCCCACCAATATTAGGTTAGTTATTTTAGAAAACCCCGGAACATTTTAGAACTTATTTTCGGAACTCGTTATCATTTGTTTTAGTTTTAAATTTTGTTTTAGGACGGGTCCGAATTAACGAGAGGTTATTTAACCGAACCGGGACGATTACTGTAGCATAACCACCCGGGCGTTACAAGATGATGCTTAGGTATGTTGTTATATCACAGCATATAAGTTAGAAATATGATGTTGTTAGCTAGGTATGCTACTATATCACAACATATAAGTTAGAACTATTTTGGACATGCTATGGTTAGGTGTGCTACTATATACAACACATAAGTTATCTGTAATTATGTGGTTTGCAAATTGAACTATGTATGATGTTGGTCTGCAACTGCTGCAGTGCTTTGCTTAAAATGTTGCATTGTACTGCTTTATTTGTTTCTATGTGCATGTGGATAGCTTGATAGACCATATGGCACACTTAGTATAAATAGCATTCTGTATGTACATATGCTACATTCTGCAAAAATTCAGTTATCAAACAAATAGTCACAGACAAAAATCCAGTTAACAAACTTAGTTAACTGAGACAACAATCCAGTTGTCTCTAAACATGTTTTGTTAACTGTATTTTTATTAAATTAACTGAACACAAACTCAGTACTACTGTGTAAAACAAATTTCAGTTAACTAAATACAAATTCAGCAAATCATGGCCATACCTGCCAGATTTGCACATTGGGGATTAAATAAGCAATATGGGCCTAATACTGGGCTGGTTTATTACTCTTCTGCCTACCTACCAGTTATACCTGGCCATGGGAAGCCCGGCCCGACCGGCCCGGCCCAACCCGGCCCGAAAAAGCCCGACCCGGCTCGGCCCGACGCTGCTCCCAGGCCGGGCTCGGGCCTAGATTTTGAGCCCGAAGGCCGGGCCTGGGCCCGTCATTTTTACATTTTCCTGAAGGTCAGGCCGAGCCGGCCCAAAGCCCGATGGGCTTTTACATGTTCGGGCTGGGCTCGGGCCCAGAAAACAGGCCCGATCGCCAGGCCTGGCCGGGCTCGGGCCTGGGTTTTTTGCGTCGGGCTTGGCTAGGCCCGACCTGAAGCCCGTCCCGGCCCGAGGTATGGCCAGGTATACTACCAGCCACTATTAATCTTCTGCCTACCTACCAGCCACCATTACTACTATATAAAGCACACCCCCATTGGCAGAAATAGTAGTCAAACCCAAACCCCTCCCTTCTCCTTCCCCCAGCCGCCAAAGAAAGCCCTAGGAGACATGGATCCTGGAGAGGTCATAGATGAAGAAGAAGAGGTGCCCAGGGGAGCCAAGCGCAGATAGGCAAGAAGGAGGGAGAGAAGGCAATTGGCAGGGAGGATCCTTGCAGAACGCAACCGCAAGGACATGGAGCAGTTCCTGGAGGCATTCCCCCTTGGCTCGAACCTTACTGATGATGATATCATCTACTAGGCAAGGAGGAGGGCAAATTTCCATCCTTTTCAGGTCACTATGCAGAGGTGGACTAGGATTTTGTACCCATGAATTTGCTGTTAAGTTTCTGTGCTCCTAGATCTACCTTTCTATCTATGTATGAAATCTGTCGATGAATGCAATGTATGAAATCTGTCGATGATGCAGTGTATGCAATGTGTGAATGTAATTCTATCTATGTATGAGTGAATGTATGAGTCAATGTTTTATCTAAACAAAATTCCAGTTAACTGAACCCTAATTCAGTTAACTAAACAAAAAAATCAGTTAACTAAACCATAATTTAGTAAACTAAACAAAATTTAGTTAACTAGAAAAGCAATCAGTTAACTGACACAACAAATCAAATAACCAAATCCAAATTTAGTTAACCAAATCAAAACTCACTTAACTGAATCCATATTCAAAAAACTGAATAAAAGTTCTGTTCTCTCCATATGAATTCAGTTAACTCTAAACAAATTTAGATAACTGAATGTAAATTTAGTTAATTCTATACAAACTGAGTGATTAATTCTATACAAACTGAGTGATATTAGGTCATTCATCAAATAGTACAATGCATCAAAGATAACTCAAATTTAGGCAGCAATTCACTTAATTAAACAAGTCCACTGATCCTCATTAACTAAATTAAACAAGTCCACTGATAAAATTCCATTACAGCACCTCCAAATTTGGGCAGCACTACAACACCAATGGATTACTCACATTCATCTAGCATCTCCCTAACCTTCTTTATCTTGCACTTGATGTCTTCCTTATGCTTGAACAAGTCACCAATCATATACTCTAGCTTCTTTATCTCTTTCTTCAACTGATCCTTTTCTTCCTTCAGTTTGTCCCTCTCTTCCATCATTTTGTCCCTCTCTTGCTTCATCTCATCCCTCTCTTTCTCTGCCTTAGCCCTTACCACCTGATGAATGTTGGACAGAGATTTGTCAGACATTTTCTTCTTCTCAAGTTCTATCTCTAGGCCAGAAAGAGCTAGCCTTGTGTTGCCCAGTTCAGTAATTGCCTGCTCCTTGTCAGTCACCATCTTAGCAAAATCTAGTTTAAAACCCTCAGATCTTGCTCCATCTTTTTCTTCTCTCCCAATATCTTAAAGTTTTCTTCAACATTAACAACATTTTTCCTGAGCCTGAGGTTGACCTCCTCTTCATACATGTCCCAAACCCTAGCTAGACTCATCTTCAATTGGGGAGGCCACTCTGGGTCAACCCAATGCACATAGGGGCATTTAGGCCCATCCTAAAATTGAAGAGGAAAAAATTTAGAGTGAAATTCATAATTCAGTTAACTGCACAAAATTCAGTAACAGTGAAAATCTAGATTCAGTTAAGTGCAGAAAATTCAGTAACGCTGAATCAAGATTCAGTTAACTGACACCAGATTCAGGTTACTATTTTTACAGTAACCTTTGAGCATTCATCAGCTACTTAAACACTACATATTTGGACAACACTCTAAATTATTTTAAAAAATATAATCTTCTTCTTACAGTAATATGGCACAGAACAAAACTATAAATGTCGCAAATGAAGTTCAATCACATATGTACTTAAATGGACAAAGCATGCACAACTATGAACACCTACTAAAGCAGTTTTTTTTATCAAAGAAGGGCTTGCCCCTTCCGATTTTCATTACTGAAAACCACACAGTTCTACAAAAGAATTCAAAAGTAAACAATAGAAACCAACCAGACTTAACAGGATCAAATAGCAACCCCAACGACCAACGACCAACAAAGGTCGGCCACACCACATAATCCCAAGTTCACAGCTGCCAGACCGGGTTTAAACTACCCTGAGAGCCATTACATCGACGCAGAAGCAAAAGTAGCAAAAAAGGAGCCAAAGGATCAACTACTAAAGCAGTACCATCTACATCTACAACTATGAACATCTACTAACCTCTTGTGCACAACCCAGGAATCTTCTTCCACTGTCAACAGACTCAAAGGCAACCAACTTCTCACACACTGATTGGTGCTCACATCTAACAGGTAGATGTGCAGCAAGGCCTCTCCAATCGGAGCAGTCAATGGTGCGAGGAGCCTAAAACCAAATCTGGTCAAAAATCCCCAATTTTCGCCTAACCCTAAATGCCAGATGCTGGTGGAGAGGATCTCACCGGACTGCTTACGGAGTCGCCACCCGACGAGGAGGAGTTGGATCCGTCATCACTCCATGAAACCATGGCGGCTTGCTTGGCGGCGGCGGCTTGCTGGACGGCAGCGAGGAGGAGCGCTGTGAGCAGAGAGCAAGAACAGAGAGGGGGTGGGCAACGAGTAGTGCGGGTTTGTCTGCAATTGGGGGGGGGGGGCAAACGACCGTGGTCTCCAAAATAATTATTCAGGTGTTTTAGTGAGTGCGGGTTGATTCGAAGGAAAGGCGTTTTTTTTGTTTTGCAAAAACACGCGCACTGACCAGCTTGGACCCGAGCAGTCCATTTGTCGCGCTGTGGTTGGTCCAAGACCAAAGTTGCATATATGATACAATTTGTATGATTGGATAGGTACACTTTACAAATTGTAGGACTAAATCATTACATCCTGAGCAAGTTCTAGGACCTCAGTGCTTTTACCTCTCCGCTGCCTGTCCTCACAGAACACAGCCCTGTATGTCACCCACCCCATCATCCTAAAAAGAAAAAAAGGAAAAAAAAAGTCACACACCCCATCGAGATGGCGGACAGGGAGGCCCCACCTGGGTCCGGAATCGGGGCGAAGCGGAGATGCAGGGACGCCGGCGCCGCGGCGGGCCTACCCGACCCGGCCGCAGCCGCTGGCGGCGGCAACAGGCTCCTGGCCGGGTACCTCGCGCACGAATTCCTTGCGCGTGGCACGGTCCTGGGTGAAAGGCGCGCGCCCGGCGGGCAAGACACGGGCTCGGAGGCGAGTCAGGGCCGGGGGCAGGCCGCGCGGTACGAGGCCGTGGCAGCGCTGGTGCAGGTCGGCGGCGCCTACGTTCCCGGGGTGGTGAACCCCGCGCAGCTCGCCGCGCCGCGGGGAAGGCGCACATGTGTGTAAGTGTAGCTAAGTCCCTGCTGATCATCCGGAGTCCCATTAGTTGGAGCATATGCTGACGATGTAGGTTGGATGAGCTTGAGATCTGTACAGCTATGTTCTCAATGATACCATACGGTAATATTGCCTTGCTGTGGTTGGTTCTACTAGACACTACTATGTTCTACTAGTAGTGTCTGATCATGTTGGTGTTCATCGACTACTGCATTAATTTTTCTTCTCATCTAGTGATTCCCTAGAACTGAATCTAGGAAAATTAGTGCCACTTGCCTGTTGTAAGTTTCCCAGGTGCTTAATTCTTAGTTGAGGAAAGCTACAACAAGTACCTTTGCATTGGAGACTTTAGTTGCTTAGCTCTTTAATGTGCTTAGCACCTCATCTTAGCACTAGTGCATTGGAGGAGGTCTTACGCCAAAAACTATTGCATCAAGCAGACAATCTGAAAACCTGGGATAGGTCATAGGTGATCCTCTATCCATCCACAACTGAGCACAGTAATAACCAGATAAATGTATTTGATGGATGTAACCAGTGATTACATCTTGAGCATGCTGTTCTGCATACAAAGGGCACACATGTTCTACCCTCGCTGCGTGGGAACTGCGGTGCGCCGTAGCCCGTGCCGCTCCATGACCCTTCTCATCGCGAGGGCAGCCGCATCACCAGCCTGCACAGTCCCTGTCGCCATGATGGCCGCAAACTCCTGCTTTATCTCCTCCTGTGCTCGGCTCTTCGCCCCTCCGAGGGGGTCTGAAGCTGCTGCCGCTGGCAGAGTCACCTTGGCCACCGTCGCTGCTGGAGCAGCAGGTTGCACGGCTGGCGGGGTGACCATCCTAGTGCCCTCGTCCACTGTCTGGAGCTCAATGCTATTTAGGGAGGTCTCTGTCTGCGTCGCTGCTGCTGGAGCAGCTGGTTTTGCCGGAGGCGGGATGATGCCACCATCACTGTTGACCATTTCATCAGCCCCGGTTTCATTGGCGGTGACTGATCTTGACTCTATCTGATCGTTGTTCGTGGAGGGCTGCGTCTGCCCCACTCCCTTGGGAGTGGGTAGCACCACCACAGGCGGGATGATCCCACCGTCATTGCTCACCGTCTCATCCGTGGCAATTTCATCCTGAGTGCTACTTGCGGAAGGCTGCACCTGCCCTGCTTCTTTGGGAGCAGGTATGATTCCACTGTCATGGTCCGCCGTCTTGTCAGCACCTGGTTCATCGGCGGTGACTGATCTCGACTGTATCTGCGCCCCCGCTGCAGGAGCAGGCACGAATTGTGGAGGCTGTTGTGGAGCAGCTCCGGCTTTCATTGTTGTCTCCAGCCCCTGAATCATCGGCACTGGAAAGCCAAAGATCATAGTTTCCATTAGACCTAGACTAGACAGTCGCCGCAAAATTCAAACTCTTAAACCAGGAAAGGCTAGTGGGGAGAAGAGATCTTACTTATCAGCGCGCCAATCGGGCTCTTCATTGCCTCCTTGGGCTGGTCGAGGATGTAGCTCGGAACCGTGGAACCAACGAGGAACTTGACCACCTCATTGCTGAAGTGGTTGCAGTTGTTGCTGAGGAGGTTGTAGGTTTCTGGCGTGTAGCGCGGGCTGATCTCCTGCAGAAAGTCTTCAAAGTCCTCCTTGGCGACATGCGTGACCCCAAAATGCTCTACTCGGGCAGGAGTCCCGTATGGCGTCCTTCCAGGCCGGTCTTGCTGGATGCCTCCCCCGAAGAAGTACTCTTTGCCATGAACCACCACGCCTGTGTGCCTGTGATGATAGGGCCATCATCCATCAACATTATGAGTCAAGTTTTCAGAATATACATATTTAGCGCGTAAAAAGGGCACTTCATCCATAATCCGCAACATCCAATTGCATAAGAAGAGCAGAAAAGCCTGAAGATGCATCTTGTGTACTGTAGGACGTGCACCGGGAATTCCAATTTCCACCAGCGGAATTGCTTTGCGTACGACTTTAAAATGTACGATTCAGTCCGACCCAGTGATCCCACGAATGCCGCTGATGCAGAGTTTTGATCGGAGGGTGACTGAGTAGTGTCGTATAAAGTCGTACAAGTGTTCATCGTACGCCTAGCACTGCTCTTCCACCAGGGCCCCTTCCTACTCTATTCCCGTCAACTTTTTGGAGCAGGAATGCACAGGGGTAAAGAAAAATTGCTTTGCGGCAATATACCGGGGGTGTAAAATCTGCTCAATGGCATTTGCTTTACGTGATTGTGTAAGAAATCTACTGGAGTCCAGTAGGTATGAAACAGAATGGTGCCACCTAATTTTGCTGATCTATATATATTCGGC